ATGCTGCCATTCACTCAAGTATTACCAAATAACCACATGCTCCTTAAGATCTGTATCCATATTTCCTTTTGGCTTTTGGGATTTACATTGGTTAAAATGGAAAAGGAGGATTTGTTTTAAATGGTCAAGCCTATAAAGCAAAAAAGAGCAAAAAAATTATTGTTAGCAGAAAGAAAAAGACTGGTCCACAGTTCAACTCAGTTGTGTCAGCATAGACTCAACTGTATTTGATTTCTTGCATCTGATTGTTTTACCAGGCAGCAGGGCAAATACCAGCTCAAAATATCAGCACAAAAGTGGGCTCTGTTGGTGAAATCAAATGCCAGTGGACCCTTGGACTGTTGCTTCTTTCAGTCTCTCAAGTCATTAGCAAAGGGGACACTTTTAAAATGGTTTTAAAAGACTTTCCTCTCCAGCTCCAGTAGTAAGTAAGTAGGAAACTTGTTTTAAAAGACTACCATCATGAGTGTCTCAAAAATATCTGCTGTCCTCTTGCGATTCTTCCTAATTCAGGACCTAAGAATGACTTGCCTGCGCTATTTAACTGGTCCTTGCAGTGTTGCGTAAGTGTTAAGGCATTGCAAGCACATCTGAAATTCCAGCCCTAATGCAAGTAATCAGCATTAGGCCATATGACAGACGAGCCCTTATTAGCGCTCAGGAACACGAGCATGTGCTCTTCGCATAAGGGAACCGTGATCTTTATGTGATTATTAAGAACAACTGGACTGTTGTTTCCCACAGAGTTCTGCAAATGGGCTTTGCCTGACTTCAGTCTAGTTTTCTATCAGGGAAACCATCTCTTCATGCATTGCATATTGGTGCATGATGTCGCATGGTGATGCATTATTGCCTTGTTTGGAGCAAGACTAGAGAGAGACCTGATCTTGCAACTGTAAACCTTATCTGATGTTAACAACATTCATAATTGTGGTGGTCTGCCCACTTGTGGTCAGCACAATTATGGTTCAAGAGGCCTGGCATGGTGTTTAAATGAACTACCAGACTGTTTTCCAGCAACATTACTGTAGAAGTGCTAATAAAGTGAAAGCTGTCTGGAAGTGCTAAATCACTAGCCACCTCTAATCAGCTCTGAACAATGCTTAGCATGTGTTTACAGCACTTACAAGCCTTTTTAACAGGCTAGAGCACTATCAACCAAATGAAATTGTAAATACTCCACTGAAGCCGTCATCAAGACTGGCACACCCACCCAGAAAACACCAACAAAGGCCGATAAACCCAACTGCGGGGTTGGTGTGCCATACTTGGGCAAAATTGCTGAGAAACTCTAGAACAACCAATTTACCAATCCATGCTCCACTAAGGTTGCCACCCGTCAATATTTTCGCAATTTCATTCCTGGACACAAATGATACAAAAACTGTATTTTGTACTGTGTATTTTTACTGTCTATGTAAGGTCATTTTTTAAGGGAAATGTATGCTGTTGGAGATGAGTTGAGGCACTAGGCAGCACTATGGTATAATAAACTGAGATTAGGCTCTGTAGGTTCTGTAGGTGGCACCTGTCTACCTCAGAGTGTGCCATGGGCATAGGTATCTAGCCACCAAACTAGCAGTGACTCCCAAAATAACATCAAGATTTTAGAAAAGGGCAGCATCAAGATGGGCACTGAATCCCCTAATCAGGTCATCCATTGGGTGTCCAGGAATTTTACAAGACTGAGGTGGCGACCCTATGCTCCGCACAAATGCATTATTTTAGCTACTGTTGCAAGGTTGGACAAACTTTACAGAACATTGGCAAAAATCCTACCCAACATAATAAATTTTGGTTGGAGTTTAGATTCACAACATAACATTAAGTTTCCAGATAAATATGCTACGTTACCAAGCTGGATTATGTTGTTTTAGCTAAGCAAACCTAAGCAGGATAGAAATGACAACGAATTTGCAACCATGTTAACTTCAGCTCAACTGCGTGACTAATAAACTACACCTGATCTACCCTAACAGTATGACCCGTCACACACATACAAAGTAACGTGTTGTGACTTTGAAATTATTAAGGCACTCTAAGTGTCTATATTTTGGCAAAAACTGAGTTGTGGACTACAGTTTTTCACTGGGTTGAATAGAATTTTTGCTAACATTCTTGTCCAACCTCTTGTTCAGCAGCTGATATGAAAAGCACTTGTGTGCGGAACATGGGCAGGCCAGTTCACACTGGTTCATTCCATTTATCCATTCTTTTTCTTAACTTTTTAACGTCTCTGGTCTTCAGAATCAGCCTGCACGAACTGTAAGATGAGAAGAAGATGCCAGTAGTGCATTTTTTTGCAGCAATTTAGCTGGACTGTATCTATATATTTGGCCCCCATCTAGAGGGGCCTTGAATGTTGATACAGAAAGAAACACAGAACTTCACTGCCGTTTGCTTTCTTTCAGGTCAAAGAAAGTTTATTAATGTTTGTGTTCCTCGCTGCTTGACTGCCCACACTGTGATAGCTTCTGCCTGATCCAAGAGCGATTTAAATGGCACCCTTGTGGCCATGTACGCACGGACCACCATCAGTTCAACAAGCTGCATATTTTAGAGCATCCTGCAGACAGCATGCCACAAACTAGTTTATAGGCAACTGGAGCCAAGGTCCAAGGTCTAGCATAAGCAGCATGAATCCAGCTAGCCCTGCTGCTGCTTCTTGTCTTGCCTATGAAAGGCAGTGTTATTTAGTGCTACACGCTAAGTCGCCCACTCATTCTCCCCCTGCTCTCCTCTTCTCCTCTATATTCCCTATGTAAAAGCTTGCCAGGCAGGCTGGGTTTGGGGCAGTTAGCATGAGCAGGCCAGCAGTGATTAATTCAGGCTCACACAAACGCACCTCTGTGTATGTTGCGCCGGCCCAGGCATTAAATCAACAGAGAGACATACACACACTGGCACTAAGGCTTAACTCTCGACTCCTATGGCACACGCACACACGCGGTATGTTCGGTCTGTTTACATTCAACGTAGACATGTTCCTGTAATCTCACTCCAATCCAACACCTAGCAAAAACACACGCACATATTAATGTCCTCCTGTGCGAGGGTGTTAGGCTTAAGCTGCACACTAATGCACTCATATGGACTCCAAGAGCTCATGGAGTCACTCCTGCCCTTTGGCTTGGACACAAGGAAGCAGTCAGAGAGAGAGAGAGGGTCAGGCTGATGGTCATGAGAAAGATGCTCCTGTTCTTTATTTATGGGGCCTGCTAGATTTTCATAGCAAAAATAAAACCTACAGCAAATAAAAGCACTGGGCATAGAAAACAGATCAGTATAGAGATTTGAGAGAATGTCTTAGAGAGCAGAAATAAGGATCAAGATGATACAAGAGTACATAAGAGTTGCTTTTCTGTTCCCAAATTCTTCTAAAAACCTTCAGAGAAAGAATATAATAAAAGTAACAGTATTTAAAGCAGTCAGTACTGAGAACTGAGACAAACAGATTAGTCCACATAAAAAGTATGAGTTACCTTTCAGTTCCCAGTTTTCTGAATAACAAAAAAAAATAACAGAAAATCCAGACTGAGAGAGAGAGAGAGAGAGAGAGAGAGAGAGAGAGAGAGAGAGATATCAGTAAAAAGATCAGAACTAAGAATTGAGACAAAACATCCACTACATTGAACTCACGTAGTGCAGAAACAGGACCAAGACAAGATAATTGAAGAAAAAACAGAGAGACAGACGCTCCTAACTAGCAAAGCATTAACATCAGAGCTGATGTTTGGTGAAGCTCATCTCTGAATTGGGTGAGAGGGATTCTCCATAAATGTTTGGGGAAATATTCTTACCCTGGATTGTATTTTTGGAGTACACAATTTTTCTTTCTCTGGCTGAGACATCATAATTCCACAGTCTTGTTCAAAGAGCAGCGCATGATTGCATTAATAAGTGTTTAGCTAAAGACAGCATTACCATCAGAAACAACCCATCTGGTGAAGGCCTATTTTTCTCAGTGTACCCAGGTAACAGGGCGTCTGCAGTGGCGGATTGAGCCACTAGAGGGCAACACCACATTGAGTTCACAGCTCTACAGTGTGAGTGTTTCTCTAAGGTCTGAAAATAGACTCAGAAGTAATTTGGGCTAAAGTCATTTGGGAAGGAACGGACTAGTCCGCACTCGAGCTCAAACTCTCTAAAGCTACCAACTGTTTAAAACAGACTACAAATCTTCTGTTCACACCAGTTAACTGAGGCGAGGGGACACAGGCTGGACTTCACCTCTGATCTGGCAGCCTGTGCTGAGGTCAGAGGACCAGGCTGAAGGTCTGAACTCAGATGAGCACAGAGTCTGATCTGAAGCCAGCCCGAGTCTGCTGACCACACGAGTGAACACATGGCGTGAGGAACAGCGTGTTGACACTTCACAGACTCCCCGCCGAGAGCAGAGCCTAGCAGGCATCATAGACACACTTCGACACAAGAGCTCACAGAGTTTTACAGCAGAGGAGAAATTATTTACATTTCCACGAAGTATGAATTCAAAATATCCTACTTCCACGCAGTTTTGAACGTCTATTTTGGCTATAAAACTGGGGAAAGTGCTCAAGTCTGAGGTCAGCCTGTAAACCCAGCAGCTCCTCTGTACAGAGCAGTTGTCACCGAAGTGACAGGCAACAGCTGAGAACCAGACTATACGTTTAAGCACAGTACTTCAGCAGGTCTCCTGTGATCTGCGGGAGCTCTGTAATCTTATTCAAGGCTGCGCCCGGCTGTTTGAGAATGGTCGACATTTAGGTGAAATATCGCGGTGTGAAATCATATGGAGTCAGTCTATATGGACACATTTCATTTTAATACCCATAAACTGATGCAAATCCCTTTCGTTTAACAGTTTCTCGCCGTTTACAGGCTCGATCCCTGGAGCCAGTCAGGCTCATCACTGAGCTGAACGCGTTTTCTCAGCACTTTCCTCCCGACAGCAGAGTCACTTCAGCGAAGGTGCGTCAGCGGTATGATTTCCCTCCGAACAGCCTGAGAGACTCACTTACCTGAAAGTTTTACAGAGGACACAGAATCCCGAGCCAGATAGTCCTGTTAATGCTGAGTGTGTAAGCCCAGTGTCCGGTCAGGACTGCCCACAGCAGGGTGATTTACTGCGCTGCATTGTCCAGTCCAGCACGGCTGCGCCGCCGCGGAGCTGCAGGCTGCGTGTCCGGGCTCAGATGAGTGCTGCGGGTGTGAAGGCGAGCCAGCTGCGCTCCTGCGTCTTTACCAGAGAAGCATTGCTTTCTCTAATGGCCTGAGTGTGGCGCCCACTGGAATGACACGAACGCTGCTCTGCGCCTATTGGGTTGGATTCGCCCCCCCACTCATACACACACACACACACACACACACACACACACACACACACACACACACGTACTACATTCTTGGTAGTCTGCACTGGAGCATGTCAGAAACGTGTTGTGATCAAGCTAGGAAAGTGAACGTGTAGCTGCACTTTTAGCCTCCACATATATTGCAATCAGGGACACTTCACAAAAACACTGAAGTGCACAATGCATTTACATCCTATCCGTATCTGTATGTTTCAGGGTTCTGTAACTGTACACCCAACAGCTAGATTATAGCTAGAACCGTGCCCTCCCCCATCTCTCTCTTCTTCTCTGACTCTCTAGCCTTAATTGCGTGGACTTATCTCAACAGTGGCCAGCCTGCTGTGATCCCCTTCCCACAGCACTGGCCAGTTGCAGGCGTGTGGAAACCTGATCAGCTTTTAAAGACTCTATTTGCTTTTCACACTGCTCGCCGTGCTAGAGTAGCTTCAGTTTAACAAAAAGGGCCTGTTACAAAATGCTCTGTGTTCACTGTAAACCAAGCTGATCAGTCAGGCCTGAATGGTAAGCCTGCATAGTGATTAAGCAAAGGTACGCATCCTGAACTGGCCGGTGTACTTTTAAATACATATCCTTCAGTTTTTGAGGTCCTCTTATGACATTTGTGTGGTCGTAAGTCATTTTTACGTAACCATTTTCCTCAGACGTCACAGTTAAACAGGCTGTTTATTCTGTCTTTGCATTTAAAGAGTGATTACAGCCCAAAAACCATTCCAACATGGCGGCCAACGCTGGACACTCCATAGAACTGCAGCACAGGCCTGTTAGTTTTCCATCTGTTCCAAGAAGCGAATATTTATATCACCTGTCAACCAACAAAGATATATGAGAACAAACTGCAAGTTTTGGGCTCTTGCGATCCCTATACAGAAACCCACCACTGTATTTCAGTCACCAAAAACAGTGAAGTCCTCTGCCTGAGCTCCACTTTGGCAATGTCTACATATGTCTTGTAGAGAATTCATCCCCTTACACTGCAGCCAGGATGAAGGCTGGTGAAGATACAGGCAGCTACATGTATTTTCGATGTGGATGGATCAATAATGCTGCCGTTTGGGAGGTGAAGGACAAGAAGTTTGTCATTGTCAAAGCAAAGATGAGTGTTAATCAGCTAGCGTTAGCTAGATACCTAATATTGATCCATTGATCGTTAGTTCAGGGACACTGTAGTACACACACACACACACACACACACACACACACACACATATATATATATATATGTATGCACAACCCAGGCTTGTCTCCTTGTTGGTTAGTACATCCATTTGAACAATGTATCTGGCATGTTGACTAAACAAATCTGCTGAAAATAAGTGGCGGCCAGCAGAAGAAAGCATTGTTCTGCTCTTCTGGTGGGCGGTCCTATAAGGATATGACATCACATGAAAACTATGAATAGGTTTTATTACTCTTTGAAGGCCTATTCACATCATGTGAGATTTACTTGGATGAAAAGATAGGATATGATTTTTTATGTAATGAAACTTTCACATCAAGTCTTATGCATTTTTTTAAACACTCCTCGATGTGGATTCCTATGCATAGTAACAATGAATCAATCATTTTTCTTTTAGGCACTGCTACTACAAAGCTTCACTCCATTACAGAAAAAAATACGCAGTGTCACCGTGCATCAGTTTTGGACTCAATGTGAAATAAAGCATTAATGTGCACGTTTATTTTCAAAACTTGACGTGTTTTTCTTCCATCCATAAAAAACTCGGGCTCGCTGTCAGTAGCCTGTATGCCAGTCTAGATATATGTAAGCAATTTAAGTTTGGATTGGTTGCCCTGTGTTGTGTCTCATTCAAAAAGCAGTCTGGGCTGAAACACTCTTTATAACTCCAGTGTGAATGGGCAGGGCTAAACTGCTGTAGGCTGAATAGATGGACATCTGTAAATGTGTCGGTTTTTATGACATCACCAAAAACTTTTTGCAGCTTGGTTTCTATATATGGACCATAAAGATTAGTGAGTAATATGGGCTGTTTATTGAGCTGAATCAGTCATCACCATGGCCTATTGCAGTAGAAGAGCCATAATTGTATGCAAAAGATTTTTTCTTTTTTTACAAATTACAATTTTTTACAATATGTTAAATTTGTTCCTGGAAAGGATGTGTTAACTTATTTTCACTTAGAAAATCAACAAAACATGTAATTTAAGCAGGGATGTTCAGACTTTTGTATACAACTGTATTTCATAAAGTCAGTGGTTGAGAATAATTCTCATATTAGTCAGAAGACATAGTTCACTTTGAGACCACCTGCCTTACTTTAAAGAAAGATTTATGACAGCTCAAGGCATGAGTATTTGACTAAACGCAACTATGGCAAGTATGCAGCAGTCACGTATTTGTTGGTTTTACACTGATAATTATAAGGCCATAAATAAATAAAGCTCTACATCTGTGAGTCTGCTGGCCTGTAGGTCAGTTTCAGGCACTATGACTGAGGGTGGCTAAGGTTATGACCCACTGACCACTCTGTATCTGCACGTGTCAGCGTAGGGTAAGTGGGTCCAGGTTCTGCCAAAACCTGTCAATCACACACGAGTGTGAGTTTACAGCACAACAACCTGGCAGATTGTTGTGAGCCGATTTCATCTGGACCAGATGTAGACCAACTCCAGAGGTCCAGAGATTCCAAAGCAAAGCCCCTCTGTCTGTAAAACTGGCCTAAAAGTGCTGCTCTAGGATCAGTCACTACACCCGAAATCTTGACCCTAAGCACTCCTGGTGAAAATATATACCAGGTGTAGAGTCAGCTACAGAGAAAACTGGTCCTGCATTGAGAGCACGTCTACTTCAAGCGTTCAACAGATCAGCAAGGCAAAACAGCCAAGCAGTCAATCAACCTGCCCTCATCAACTTGTCAAGCTTTGTTTATGGCAGATTATCTCCGCGGTGGAGAACATAACAGAACCGTTAGAACATTGACAAATATGGCTACTGATATGACAGATTGACTGTACTATGCAAACAGCATGTTTAAGAACCAATAAAATATTTCACATAAAAAGCAAAAGTACAATATTCTGAAGGTTTAAAAGCTTGCTATGTGTCTCCTAGTCAGACAGCTCTCAGCGAGCTTCTGCTGTAAATAAGTCACAGCAATGCTTAATGGCATTTAGTGAGTCAGCTATTTTCTCAGTAATGGCCACAGTAACAGATATCATATCTGCCAAGCCCTGTGATTTAAGCGAGCCAGTGTGCCTGAAGACATGGTAGCCCATTAGCCTCTTTCACTCGCTCGTATCTGCTTTTTGTCTGGAGTTTATCTACACTTTATCTCACTCAATATTTATGGCAGGGGGTTGTAAAAATGCTTTCAACAACATGATTGAGCTGTAAACTAGAGATGGGCTCATTTAGGCCTACTTCACCCCAATGATGGACTTGTAATGTATAAGCTGTCTGTAGGTTTATGGGGTGTAGTAGCAAAAGCTGGCCTACAAATTTGTTACAGGATCCACATAGTAATTCAAGAATTTTCATCTGTAAAAATGAAAATGTAAATTACAGCCACATAACCTCATTTATGCCCATATGACACCATTTCCTGACACATTTTTGCCACAGTTATTACAGTTGGTCACACTACACATTGGCAACAGATGTTTAATGGGCTAATTATTATTTAACGCTTAAATGCATACTTTAGGTCACTATTTTGTAATTGGCAAGAAAAAAGGTTTTTGATTTTTTTACACTATTGCGGCAGGTTTTAGATCAATTTGTGTTATAAATGCTGGGATGCTAACAATCCAAAGTATGAGTTGAAGGGGTGATTCTGCCTTAGCACAACATATGTAACTGTGACAATTCTCACTCAACTTTATTTCCTCGAATAAATGAATGTATCATGCCTATTTTGGTGACTGAGTACTTGGTACAGACTAAATGATTATCTTTTAGGAAAAAAAGATAAAAAAAGAAACAAACTGCTGAAAATAGAGCTGTGTTGGCAGGCTAACAGGAGTATGCCTGGATGAGAATGAGCAGAATTGCTTTGAGGGAAAATGAGCAAATCTAACCATGGCAGTAAGCACAACTTGGTCATGAGGCTGTTTCATTTACAACGAATTCCCCATTCCTGTGAATGTCCCGCTAAATACACAGTAAACATAGTCTGAAATGTATTTGATATTCTCTTTGCTTCACATTTCAAAATGCATGCAGTCTACCATAATAGCCACCATTACACTGCAAAAAATAGTATCTTGTCAAGTGAAATGATTTTAAATGCAGTCGATATGTCCAATATTTCTCCTGTTGAGATTGCTGTAAGCCTATTATAAGATTATCTAACTTATTTCTAAACTTTTTTACATGTTTAAGAAATGTGCTTAAAATAAGTTGCAGTGAGATAATTCTACTTAATAAAATTCTTATTAATTAATTTCACTTGACAAAATAGTATTTTTTGTAGTGTAGATCACTGTGCACTATAGTACAAAACTGGTGGTTGTTTTGGATTGTAAAAGTTGAACTTGCTGAATGTGCATAAACACATAACGAGCAGCCTGACCAGTGCTCCAAATGTTTAGCACTGCCCATCATGTGTTAGGACCTGAGAGAACTTGCAGAGGCACTTAATCATCTGTCATTGATTGTCACATTATGCAAACAGATTATCACATACTCCATTCTCCAGACCTCAACTGACCTTTTGTTGTGTGACAGCAAAGTTATGGTAAAAGATGTTAAAAAACGAACAGCATGATTATTAAAAAACTGAAAATATGACTATGTTCTTTTCTGTTTATGCTGCAGCTCTGATGAATGTTTCATGCTTCAAGTCTGTTGTAGCGATGAAGGGTTTTCATCACAGTCCTTTTCACAAGAGCATTAACCAGTCCCTTTAAGAACCAGGCAG